GGGGGGGGGAGTAGAAATACTCCTAGTCGCTTTATGTTACAGAAACCGGGATAAGCTCCGGTCTGATGAGCCGCTTGGCTCGTATGCAGACTTTACCTGTTTTTTACCTATTTATTCAAATCAAAATCAAGTTACAACTTACACTACCCGCGTTTAGCGTACATGTAGGCTAATCGAGGCGGGCATTGTTATAAACAATACATCAAGTCACAAGAAAAAGAAAGAACAAAATTAAGTTGCCAAACACGTAAGCGAGTACAATGAGTCGAACTAGTGATGAGTAGGACTTATGTTGAAAAGAAATGTAAACTGAAAGGTGAAGTTGTATTAGAAGTAAATGCAGTCATAACATGAGATGAGATGAGATGATGGCGAATAAATTTGAGCAGGATGCTAATGACAGTTTTTTATTGTTTGTACTTCCTACAGAGATGGATTTCCAGTTACACCGAGTGGAAGGTTATCAAAAGTATATCGCCTCACACCACTTCTGGCAAATAACAGGGTATAGTCAGTTTTTTCGTTTCGTCTAGGGGCTCTCTCTCCATTCGAACAAAAATTCCGGAATTCCAGAAATTTCCAGTGGCGAGTTGAACAGCATTTTTCCTGAATTTCCGGAAAACGACGACAACCTCGGGAGGTAGACACAAATTTTCGAAAATTTTTGACCGGGAATTTCCGTTCCAGAAGGTCCGGAGTTTCAGGTGCCTCTCTCCACCCAGTTGTATAACTGGGTAACTGGGAACTTAATGTTGGGGGGTAACCCTGCGATGGACTAGCGTCCCATCCAGGGGGGGAGTAGAAACACTCTTAGTTGCTTCATGCTACAGAAACTGGGATAAGCTCCGGCCTGATGGGCCTCTTGGCTCGTGTGCAGACTTTACCTTTATCTATGTTATTACTTGACAGTTATTGCAGTTGTATACGGCAGTCTTCTCAACTGTTTCTTTTTTATGCACGTTTCAAGGAGAAAAGAGGTTTAGCACTGGACGGAAAACTAAAACACGAGGATACCAATTTAGCCTCTTCAACAATGTAAGTTTACAAGTGAATATATGAAAGATCATATATTTGAACATGATTGATCATCGCAGTTATATACACAGCTGTGAAATTAAAGCCTGAAAAAAACATCAGGATTGAATTCAGGTCTGTACAAGCCTGAATTTTTTCATGCTTTAATTTCACAGCTGCTTAAACTGTGTATATAATTGCGATGATCAATCATGTCTTTAGTACAAGTTTAGAGAAAAGTGAAACGGAAAAATACACCACTGTGATTTTTATCTGTAGTATTGTTTTTTTGCTGTTTCTTCCTACCTGGCGTTTGTCTTGTGTACAGTGTAAGCTGGATTGCTGGTGGTTTTAAACAAATGGGAAAGCCTTGAAACAGTGTTAAGAGAAGTGGAGTGAGTGCACACGGACTGTGCAGCAGAACACGAACCATATGCGAGTTGGTTTTGTACTTCTTGAGTGCTCACTTCCACTCCTGAAGTGCTTTACAAAAGAACAAAGCATGGTTAAAGTTGGTTTGTTTGTATTATAGCAATACTCATGTTCTTGAGAAAGTCGCTTTTGTCTCGCGAGAAGATAAACCGTATTTTATTGCTTATATACAATGTTAATGACTTTATTTCTCTCTGTTGTAGAATGGATGAAAGCACGTCTAAAGAAAATCTTGGAATTATAGTACAGTATAAAGTCAAAGTGCGAGTTATAGTGCAATACGGAGGGTAAGAAACGCAATATATTTAAGTAATCCTTTTACGGGCATATACCTGTTTGATTTCTGTGAGTGTCATAAAGGGTAAGTTGCAATGTTAAGGAATCTCTACAATGGTCAGCTGGTCATCGTTGTAGCTAAAATATCATAGTAACAGTTTTTAACTGCAGGGGAACTCGAAGAAAAAAAATGGACCTGCAAAGTTAAACGAGATTACAACGGACTGCAGTCAGTCCAAGTTTTCGCTACCACTGAACTAAGAAAAGCCTCTGGGTGATGTTCACAACGGGTTGGAACTTGAATTGTCTTCGAAGTTAGGAGAAGTTATTTTATATGTAGATACATATATTGCCCATGTTAATCGTTTCATATCTTCAAAGTTGTCGAATTTTTCGTGATCTTTGTAGTGTTTAATTTTCAAGTGATACTATCGAAGACATATGAACCGTATACACTATGCAGTGAAATCTCAGTCTCTCGATTTTTTTTTTTTAACGGTTAACTGATCAAATGTACTTTTCTGGCAGTTTGTTGATCAAACGCTCTTTTCGACGGACAATTGTCGATTAAACATTCCTTTTAAACAGATTTTTGGTCAAACGTTCTTCTCTGACAATTTGTTGATCAAACGTTCTTTTCCGACAATTTGTTGATCAGACGTTCTTTTCTGACAATTTGTTGATCAGACGTGTTTTTCTAACAATTTGTCGATCAAACGTTTTTTTTTGGTCAATACTTTGACCAAACGTTCTTCTCTGACATTTCTTTGATCAAACGTTCTTTTCTGACAAATTGCTGATCAAACGTTCTTTTCTTATAGTGATGTCACCCTGGAATTACCTTTCACGCTAAGTCACCCCAAGCCTCCCGAGGAGACGCCGCCCCCCACTCCAGTACCACAACAGAACGTGCCCACAGAGGAAGCAGCAGGTACGATACTCGGAGAGGGAGGGGTCGACCAAACTTTTTTCCTCTCACTGTCTTGACTAGAGAGGTGTTCGCTCTTTAGGACTGAGCACAATTCGTTCATTGTTACTTTCGCTTGCTTACATCGTAGCACGTTTTTTCACCGTGTATGTGATTTTATTTTAGTGGCTGCTTCATCTGAAGAACCTGCTGTGGATCACAACTTAATCGACTTTGATACCGAGTGAGTATGAGCAAACAAAAACTCTTGATGTTCTTGTCTCTCAGTTATTACAGTGGAATCGCTCATCAGTGGTTTGCTCATTAAACCTTTTGTTTACCGACTTCCTCATTGCCGTCGTGGTTTTCTTTAACTTCCTATTATCCGCGGGAGAACTGGGAACTTGAAAGGGATTACCCGGGGAATAATGCCTATATGGGGGATGAACCCTCAACCCTTCATCTTCTCTTTTTATAAGGTAGTAATGCTGGCATTTCTTATTTCATTTCAGTGGACCTGGTAAGAATGAAGACGATGATTTAATCTTTGAAGATTTTGCTCGCCTCAGGCTCAAGGAGTCAGAACATCTCGGAAGCGCAGACGCCTGACACATTTACAACACGAAACTTCGCGTGGGAGGGGAGGGAGAGGCTAGAACGCTGTGACAACAGAGGGATATCTGAATACCACATGTCTTAGACCTAAAAATAGACTCTTGATAATTACCATGGAGACAGCTCTTCGAAAATCATACTCCTTTGGCGCAGTATGTTCTCCGGACCTGAAAATATTACCTTATGGTTGACTTGTTTTGGTTTCACTCTATAAAACTTGCGTAGTTAACCAAAGTCTAAGTTCTTATAATACTAATAGTTAGCAACAGGGGGAAGATGCGAATTGAACAAATTCCAAACTAGACAATGTTGACTTTATGTATTACCAAATTCTCATGACTATTATTAAAGGAATTGTATAGCAACCAGTAAGGAGAATCGATGTTTTGAGTTTGGGAATGAAAGCCTTAATCAGGAGGTCCTCTTTGAGCCCTCTGATTGTGTCACTATGTTAGGTCACCATGCGGCCACTAATCAAGGCTGGGGCTTGGGAACGAGAGCCTTCGCTTCCAGGTCTCTTGCATTGTGTACCCGGATGGATTCAGACCATTACTTCATGTTAAGACTATAATTTAGATGTATTACAAAACTATCAAAGCACTTTTGCCTCCAAGAGTGATTGACCTGTCTTGTCGTTTCTTTTACAACTAGTGATTAGGAATGTCTTAACCGTGAAACAAAGTCTGTTAACTCCAAGTACAGTTGAAATTTCTGATCTAGAACTTTGACTTTTGGGCAGAATTAAGTGGTCCTTTTAGTGATGTTATGTTACAGTAATAAAGAGTGTTACTGGAGAGGTATCTTTAAGTGGTGGTTCCACTAAGAAAACACACACACAAAATTGTTTCATGTTTCATGGCTTAAGGTGGTATGGTACCCTCAATATGGACCAAAAAGTTTGTTTAAATATGGTGAAGAAAGATCAATTG